ATAATTTCGGCGGTTGTGGAATCATCATTGTTAAAAAATATTTGTCTTTGTCACTAAATAGTGTGGAGTTAGTAATTACTTCCTTGGCTTGTCTTTGATATAACTCGGTAGGATCGTGTTTGATACATTGGAAAATTTCTGGTTTAAGAAAATTGTTGGTTTTTGAAATATATTCTGGGAGATCGATAGCTATCACTGTCTTCCCTTTATCTGCACGTGTAAATATTATGTTATTTTCAGAAGCTTTGTTTTTGATAGTTTTTACTAGTGACATTTGAGAAATTTCTTTGTGTTTTTTGTTATCTATTAAGTGAGAGTTTATTATATTTGCTAATACATCTTCGTTTAAATTAGAATCGTTAATGTCCTTAATTGCTAATTCACAATCGATCCCTAAACAGTCTAATTCTCTATTAATGTAAGAGTGTTGCAAGCTAAAGTTGAAACCTTTTTTTCCAGGAATTCATCTTCATTTTTAGAAAATGTTGTGTCTGTTAAGTTTATGAACCTGTTGTAAAATTGGCGGTCGGTATATTTTGTAATAATTGGCTTGCCTTTAGATGTTTTTGAATTAGAAAAAAGTGTTGTGCCTCTTTAATTGCGAGCCCCCTACGACTAAAAGTGGACCCTTATTATAGGAATCCAGGACGCTGCCATTTAAGAAGATCCTTTTTTTGGACAAGTAATAAATCTGATTTTGACGTTTTGTTCCTTGGGGTTGTTTTCGGACTTATTTTCTTTAGAAGATTGTGGTGAAGTGTAATGGAGCGCTTAATATCTCTAATGCGGAATGTGGAAATTATTAAAGAGAAGAGCAGATGTAATCAATTCTTCTATCAACAATCTTAAATGGGAGGATTAATTACATTAAAATACTTTAAAGTCAATGTTCAAATTGGGTGCCGCCCTCTTCAATATACTTAAAGCACCATTTTCTAACTAAATGCCGACTACTCACTAACTCAATAGGAGTGATCTAAGCAAACGCTTCTCGAGTTGCTTCCTCTAATTCTGCTTTGGTTTTGAAAATTTTATCTTTAAATATAAGATATTTTAATTTCCCCCATAAAAAAAATCTAGAGGAGTTTGATTATACTGATGCCGATAATAAATACTTCTTGCAAGAATTAATGTCAAGGCTTGACGTTAAATAAATAAGGTCTAACACATCTTCCTGGGACAATTCCTAGTCGGAAGCGATCTTGCAGATTTTACGCTACAGCTAGAGGATTTTCTGTGCTCCAGTCATAATAATTGTATCTGTTAAATATTCCTCTCCATCACTCCAGACAATAGACAATGACAAATTAATGTTTTCATTACATTACAGGCATCCCTTTCATGAAAATGGTTGAATTCTAGTACGATATGGCTTGAATTCATGTTAATTTACCCACTAAAATTATGTATGACAAGGAAAAAAAGTCCTTAATTGACATTGACAGCTATATGGACGGCTTACTAATACATAAACAACTATATTTCCTCAGATACCAATAAAACTGTATGCCAAATTTGAGGGCTATATTCGAAAAGTCCGAAAACTAAATAACAACCTCGGTACTGAAGATATCGCCATGTCGTTTTAAACATTAATTGTTTTTCAAAAATCCGAAATAGAAATGAATTGATATGGTTAAGGATGTAACTTAAGGAAAGGTCGATAACCGAAGATTTTCATGGGTTCCCAAAATAAAGTCGGTCTAGTTCAAACTGAGTGTAGAGGAAAAAATAGACAATAGAAGAGCATAAAATAAAATTTTACCTGAAATTGAGCAAAGATGTCCTATCTAGTTTAGAAAAATGGTTTTCCCGTCAAAACACTCGTATTATGTCCTTCCTGTATAAGTGAAAGAAATATGATTTGATAAAATAAAATAACATCATACATATACCACCATGGAAAACTTTTACTTAAAGGATGTTCTAGTATGATATTTTCCAAATTATCCATAAAAATCTCTGCTAACAAAGGACTAAGTTGGTTTCCCATAATCAAACCTTTTTTAGAGATGTAAATCTGTCCATTAAATTCAAAATAATTTTGGGGACGCACCTGTTCCCACAGTTTCGGGATTTGTTCTATTAACAGCGGCAGACGGAAACTCATCGTCACCAAATACGTGTCCCAGCGTGAATATTATTTGGTGTGGCGGCCCATGGTAAAGCTCTTTAGCATTGCACAGAATATCATATATTGTCATTGTCCTCCCTGGATGGTTTCTCATCCAGGAGTCAATCGCACTGTTGATATTTTTTTTTTGGCGAACTATATACTGATCTCCCTAATGGCTGTAAGTTGTGGGAACAATATAGAGGGACAGAAATTGACGCCTCTTATTGATAAGTGAGATTCCTGACTATCCAAGATAAGTAATATTGCTAATATCCAAGTTGCTTAACCCCCTTCCTAGCAACTATCCGATCGGGCTTTTGGACCATTTCATCAACATTGTAGATATCTTGAGATTAAAACTTGTAACGGTCTGATTCTGCCTCTAATATTGAAAAAACGCTTCGACGTTAGTTGTATTGAAACTAGTTGCCTGGCTAAGGCTTGTTGCCTCAGAAGTTGTCAGAGACAGAGCGGTATGGCCTTTAGGCAATCCAGTGAACCAATCAGCAGAAGCAATTTTCTTTTTAACTCAGTTTGGAAGAACTTCTACATGGTTGCTAACGGTAAAAGCACATGGCAAACTTCTTTGGTAGTCAACTTAAAATATAATTTTGGTTGTTGAATTAGAGAGAACCTGACGATTTCTTTTGTAGCCTACTTCTACTGGGTTGCCTAAAATATTTTAACAAGTTAAGCTAAATAATCATCAGAAGAAACAAATATTTCAAAAGATTACCCTCTGCCTTTCGCTTACAAAACCGCTATAAGGTCATACGGTTGAATTGGAAATTTTCGGCTACCGGCTATACATGCCTTAAGGTTTATTTCAATACATACACTTTTTCAAAAGGACCTTTGTATCCAATGTTATTAATGATTTTATACAGACGCTAATAGTCGCTTTTTACATTAAAAATCACAATACTATAAATATTTTCCGCATAGCAACTCATACGGACACTAAAATTATAGTGAAGGAACATGAGGCGCAGACTAGGATATTTTAGAGTATTTATTCCACGTTGCCAAGTCGCCTTTAGCAGTAATGGCCGCTGCCACAACTAACCTCTACCACAACCAACCCCGTCGACCCCTATACGGAGATGATTAAGTTTTTGGTTGATGAAAACCCTATACATAAGACATACTGTTCAAGAACCTCATCACACGACCGGGTACAGTCTACTTTTATTCTTGGACCAAAGGAATATGGGGCCAATATATTTTCACTGTTTTCGATTCCGATTGGTAATCGAAACCCCATCGGAAAATTTTATTAATTACAAACAGCCTCAGTGTTACAATTATAAGGGGTGTGAGGCATTGACTCCTACTTTACTCAATATGTACTATGAAAAAATACTGCAACAATTTAAGGTATGTTAATAACCATCAAGTATTGCAAAACATGACTAATGCCATATTAAGAGAGACAGATACGTTATTCACAAGATAAACACCTAAAAAAAAAAAAATACTTATTTCTAAGAACTTAACTGAATTAAATAAACTGACATTTGGCATCTGGTATTTGAGATGCTCGATACCAAGCGATGTTAACCCAAAAACGGAACTACGCTGCAATACAGAAAATGCCCGAAGTACATTTTCTCGAATGAAAAGACTTCCAACAAACCCAACACTATCATGAAACGTAATATATAAAATCAATCGTATTATACGTATATGAAAACGAGATGGAACCAGGTAGAATGAAGAGGAATAAATAATTTCCAGGAATCATCAAAAGATTGCCGTTGCACAAAGTATCGTCAATGGGAACGATATATTAGGACACATTCATCCCACAGGTCACCCTCATTCGTATATTCGTATGATCCAGCACCTTTAATTAGCCTAGCCTAGCCGTTTGTCTCAATACGTCATAAAAACTCAACCTGTACGGAGATAATTAAGTTATTTGTTGATAAAAACCCGGAAACGAATAACAACGTTCTTAAATAAGATATACTACTCACGAACCTTACCATACGACTGGTTACAGTCTACTTTTATTGCTATACCAAAGGAAAATGGAGTCAATAAATTCTCACACCACGTATTGATTAGTTTGATGGGCTATATACTGAAGATACCTCTTAGAATCATATGTGAGCTAATGTGTTATAAGTATTTGGCTTTCCGATTCCACTCGATAGAGATGCACAAGCAAGGACTAAACGAAAAGGATATCAAACTGATCGGAAAGTTGTACTAAAAACAAACAGCCTCATACGATCTTCAACGTTATTCACTATGTACTATAAAAGCTTTTGAACGAAAATCATAAAAGTAAACGGAAGATTTGTAAAAATGTAAGATATCTAGGCAATACCGTGTTATTGATACTACAATATATAACGAAGATTATGACCATTTTTATGAATTTCAATATGGATATCAATAACAAAAGAATAAAACAAGTTGCAAGATTCGATATTGAATAAACAAACAAACTGAACACTAAGATTAAACGTAAAGGCTTTTTTACGATCAATTGTATTCTATGGATGGTGTCAAGAAGAATGAACAGGGATAAAGAATTTCTAGGAACAACCAATAGCTTGGTACAACTGGTACAAATTCGTAGTCTATCAGTCGTTCAATCAGAAAACGGCACTAGCGATATATGAGAACTCGTTCCAAATTTTTGCTTGCGAAACCACCAAGTTCCAGGGTTCCGTATGTGAAAATTTAGACTAGATAACAGTTCACTACAGCACAAACACGGTTTTTCGACTGCCATACTACAATAATCTGGATAAGTCGAAGGGTAAGGCTTCAACAGGTTCAGAATTAGACAGTAGGAGTAAACTTCCAGTGATTACTACTGAAATGTGAATAATATTGTAGTGACTGCAACGACATAAGTTTCCTTTTATAGGCATTGGCCGTTCGGATCGTGGTATTGCACCGTCAGCAACTTCATTGCCAACGTGACAGTCGCTGCTAGTGTGTTCACCCTCACCGCGATTTCCTGCGACAGGTAAGAGTGCGTTCGCCTTCATAAGAGACAAATTTCGACGTTTCGCACTCCTTTATTTCAGATACCTCGCTATAGTTTACCCGCTGCATCCCCGGATGTCGAAGGTGTCATCGCTCGTGGCGATCACTTTTATCTGGGCTACGAGCATGGTGTTTGCCCTTCCGTGTCTGCTGTACTCTACCATCATAACGAACGGGTAAGAGCTAAAGCTTTCATGAAACTACAAACAATTGCAGTCGCTAAAATTAGTTTATTCGTGACGGTGCAATCTTCGGATTAAAGTCTGTTCATAGATATAAGAAAGTGACTAACTCATACGAATGAAGGAAAGACCCGGGCAAGCTGTAAGAATGAAATATGACCGAACTAAACAACATTTATTTATTTATGTATGTATTTGTATTTGAATCTAAAATAAAATTACAAATTATCTTTATTACCTACTTAAATTACTTCAATGAGAGTCAAATAAACATTGTTTATAACTTCCTTAGTCCCAATAGTATAGTGTTTTCTACATTTGGGCAGGACCATCTCCTGATACCTGATACATATTTTGCATAATTCGCACACTATTCAACACACGCTGTATTACACACGAAATAGGAATGATTAATAATAAACCTAAACTAAGTAGTATACCAAACTAAAGAATATTAAACACAGGTAGGTATAAAATTATTTTCTATTACGGACCACAATTTTACCTGATTTTAAATTCCGAAACTTTAGGTAATAATCTTGTTGCATTGTATGTTAATGACCACCCTTGGATAATCCCATTCGAAAGCAATTGGTCTCTTTCTTATATCTATGAACAGACCATACCTACTTGAAAGTTTAGCTTAACCGATTGAACCGGTAGAATTAACTTAAAGTCTTGCGCTTGGCAATTTTCATTTTCCGTCGCTTAACCTCGATGCGTTTCGCGATAGACCGAGAGCGAGGAAGGAAACGTTGTTTCTGATTTTCTGCACGGCCTTGGGAGTGATTAAAAATTGCCCTTCCAAGTTTTATCGTTTGTCAACAGACACGTAATTTTCCAATCGAGTGAAAAATATGCCTCGCTTAAACTCGAATCGTTTATGTTGCAGATACAAAGGCGAGAACAGAACTGGCTGCATTATGATCTGGCCTGACCAAAAGCTGGTCGGCTCCCAGTATGATTTATGGTAAGGACACTTCATTAAATTTAGTTTAAATGAGGCTTACGTATAGTAGACATTTTGGTTTTGGACTGCTGATTGGTTAAACCATTTTACCACAGTATAGAGAAAGAAGGTATGACGTGGTTCGACTGCATGCCTTCGATTGCGATGGAAGATAATAGGGTCTATCCTTTTTTTTAAATATTGAACTGTGTAAGAAATGAAGATTAGTATCGTGAGCCAGTTGCTACGAGTGACGGTTGTAGATATATGATCGAACTATTTTGCGTTAAAACTAAATCGAATGCAGGAGTTCTGCAATTGCAAACATAGATAATATGGTTGGTATTAATGCAGACTTGACCATTTTTATACAATATGGCTATTGTCGAAAAATCCAATTATAATTATTTTTAAACTGAAATATCTCAAAAACGATTAAATAAAATGTCAATAAATTATATGTTTTTGAAATCATGCAAAAAAAGATCTACGATTTATGCAAATAATATATAGAGCATTCGGCGTTTGTTCTTTCTGACATTTTCATAAGATAATACAGCAAAAATATTGAAACTTTTGTATTTACTTTTTTATATATCTTTCAAAAATTAACCCCGTAGGTGGGCGTCAAAATATAATGAATAACCCTGTACAGGTAGATCAATTAACCGAACTTCAATAGTTCAAGAGTCGTTATATCGATAAAGAAAAAAATATTTGTTTCGATACAAGTGTCATAATGTCTCATTTGGATTGGAGTTTGTGCGATCGAATCCTCATATCCATGAAAAGTTCTAATTTTTCTACACTGTTGGTTATTTAAGTTAAAGGGAGTTGAGGTTGCTCCCAAGACAATAACATTGATCTGATATTCATTCAAAACCAAGCAGTTTGCGGACTTATCAAATCAAATAAGTTCTTTTAATGCCTTATAAATACTAAAATAAATAAGAACTAAACCGACAACACCCTGTCTTTATCAAATGTAATATTTACAAACTACCTGCTAATATATACACCGAAAATGACCATAAAACCTTAGTTAATGTTGTTACGAGAATTTAAATTCAATAAAGTAGAGGTATTTAAATCTAATTGATCGTTAAGCAATACATTTGAATGTCTCATTTTGTTAATCTCCATGGCTTCCAATAAATTTAATTTTATACTTTTTGTGGCTGTATGTAAAATATCAAAATTGTCGTCAAAAATGTGTTTTTCTGTGTTTGAGTGTGTAGCATAGTTATAATCTAGACTATTGTTTTTAATGTTGCTTAATTGTATCTAATTATGCTACACACCTAAACACAGAAAAACACATTTTTGACGACAATTTTGATATTTTACATACAGTCGCAAAAAGTAGAAAATTAAATGTATTGGAAGCCATTTAGAGTAACAAAATGATTTTCATCATGTAAAAGCCATCTCAGTTCAATTTTATAAATATTAGTTACATAAATAGAAACACAGGTCCTAATATGCTTCCTTGGGGCACTCCCCTAGTAATAAACTAGATGTTGAGCTGTTAAATATGTTTTGTTGTTTTCGACAATTCAAATAATCTTGAGTTAAGCGGACAGTCACTTCGTAAATCCAAAATAAGCCTTAAAGAAAAGTTGATGATTCAACATGTGGGAACCCCCATAGCAAACTAAGAAGGTTAAATTTTTATCATTTTATACTTTAAAAATGTCGTCAATGGCTTTTAAAACTGTCGTGCTATAGTTCGACTTAAATCGAGATTGAATGCTAAAAAGTTATTTGAATACATTTCATCAAGACTCTTGCACGTAGTTAGAACTTTTTTCTTGCATTCCCTGCCCTACACTACAGACACTTTCTTTTTAAACTTTTCTTTGTTGGCAATTGAGTAAAGGAGGAAAGCGACTTTCGTATATAGTCAAAACTTATTACTTAAGAAGGTAACTTTTTTCAGGTATCAGATGTTCTTCTTGATCGTAACCTACTTGGTGCCGATGACTCTAATGTCACTGTGCTATACGATTATGGGCAAAGTCCTGTGGGGCTCGAAGTCCATCGGCGAAAGGACGCAGAGGCAGATAAATTCCATTCGATCGAAGAGAAAGGTAACGCGATAGCGCTTTGTAAACCCAATTGCAAAACAACAGATAATGCATTGGCGCGCAATTATAACGTTGTTGCGGGGGAGGTGGTGTGGTTTTACAGAACAAACTACCTGATTATCTCCCGATAATTGATTACTTAATTAACTAACAGGTGTATCCGAATCGGCACATCCGCCATTTTTTTTGATTAATTATAATTGAGTGACATTCGTCATTTCATCGTTGTGGGTGCAGGTATTTCAGGTTTTTCAAATGTGTTGCGTTGTGATTCGTATTCCGCCTTTAATTTCGTTGTAACCGTGACCTCTGACAAGGTTTATTTTTGTTTCGCCGTTCTGTTTTTCAAAATACATATTATGATAAAACGATCCTAAATACTAATAATAATATGCTCCGTTTTCTTTATCAATACCTAAAAGGGATCCAACAACCAACATTTTCGTTATGAAAACCGCTGTTGCAGTTATATTATTTCCTAAAATGTCAAAAACATAATAATCAATAGGACTTGTTTGTTTTTCATATCTTCCACTATCCATTATCAAACCTAACGCATTTCTAAATCTTTTTCTTGACATTGCATTGTAAATTTTATATTGAAACACTTTCTATCCTCGTTTTTGTTTCTATCTCAACTGCTTTGCTACAATTTACTGATGGCGTTATGTTATGCAAGGTTCCTGCAGGTTCAGAATGAGATAGTAAATACCGTTTCTTGTTACTCTTAAGACTCAGTATTAAATACTGTACTTGGCTGATTTTCCATCAATGACAGTTTTCCACTTAAGTGAGGCAGTTTGTTTTGCTCCAGCAAGTCATTTTCCCTACCGCATGTAGCATTTTAGCGAAATTAGATTTTTATGGTTTGAACTAGATGCAATATCATCTTTTCTTCTTGACAGAAAGCAAACGAAAGTCTTTTCCAATAATCTCATGTCTAGTTTACAGACTGTAATGTACGAAGTTCCACAGGGTTCCCATTTTACTTTATATCAACCGTATTTTCTCTGTGGCCGTGGATAATTTTGCATACGGCTCTACATTTAACACAAGAAACCCGAATATTAAAACTCCTAAAGAGTAAACACGGTTCGCCAAAGAACATGCCAATAGCCTAAAATTATATGAAGTCTGCAAAGTTATTGGGTGGGACTCTGAAGAATAATAGGATTTCTTACAAGGAGCATATTGTTTTTTTAGTAAAGTCAATGTTTTACAACGACTTAAAGATTTAATAGTAGAAAATTGCCTCAACAAATCTGTTATCACCCCAATCAGACCTAAACTCACATTAAAGATAATAAGCGCAGCGGAGGAGGTTATATCTCCGAAAACATTCTATTGCTCCCAAAACCGTGGGTTTTGGTTTTGGAAGCAGCCGTAGTCGTGAAACTAACGTCATAAAGTGACACTTTCTGCAAGCTAGACCAGTGCATAATTAGATATTTTATAGCAAAAATAGAAAAAGATATTATCTGATTCTTGATGGTCACCATTTGAATGTATTTTATATCATTGAATTTTTTTGTTTTTATACCTATTTATTGAAGATTTCATCTATTCGTGTATATTTTTTTTTTCTATTTTGACTTGCTGCAATAATGTAAACCAGTCAAATAAAGAATCTTTCTATTTACCAAATTTCGCGGTACATCAACTAACAAATACAACTATCTTGTTTTTAATTAATTTTTGATTTTGTAATTATTTTCGTTAATAATTATTTGTTTTAAATGAAGTTCATCGTCGCTACGGTTTACTAGGTCCCAAAGTCTATTGATTTAAAAAAAAATACAAAGTGCTTGTAGGCACAGAACTTGAGTATACATACTACTTATAAGTCAAAATCAATCTATCACCTGTTGGCTCAGAACCGTGAAACACGTACTACTTAAGAACGTCTCGGAGGGCTGCGAAATAATTTAATTTCGAAACCACGGCCGCAATCGCGAAGTAAAACCGCTCTATCACGAGATATTTGGGGAATTAATGTTGTCGAGACGATTAGTGACGGTCCGCTTATCTGACACGGTGACAGGTCGCCGCCTCGCGCCCACTGCGACCGACTGATTAGAACTCGGCAACAAACGTGCCGGATGTGGCTTCGATATTTCTATCGACGTACGCTCGATTCGGCAGATCCGCGCGCCCTCTCTCGGACGTTTTTTTTTCTCAGTTTTAACGCCTCCTTCTGTCCATATCACCAAAAAAAAACTCTTATTTATTTTATATAATTAAAAAAATTCCTTTTCACTTAAAAAATGATACAAAATGCCTAGCCAAAACTTTTTTCTGATTTTCGTTCTCCAATTTCCGTTCTGTGAATATAATAATGATAATATAATCTTTATTTAGCATTATTTTGAACAATCTGCAATTGCTCTAATTCATAATTAGACAAATTGAACAAAAGTGTGGGAAAAGATTCTAAATGGGGAGCAGCTAGGCTGTTATACTATAAAGATTTTGGTGTCAATTGACAAATTTTTCCCCATTCTAGACATTAAATTAATCTTTTTCGAAAATTTATTCATTATGTAATAGGCATGTGTATGAAACGTCAAATTTGAATCAAATATAACACCCAGGTATTTAATTTGTTTTTCATGAATTAATTTTTTGTGGTTAATATAAATGTTCACATCGAAATTTAATTTACTCAATTTATGTCGTTTACCAAACATACAAAACTTTGACTTGTCCGTGTTTATACAAAGGTTATTATTACACAGCCATTCAGAAGCCTTCTAAAATATTTACCTTCTAAAATATTTACAACATCGTTTATATACATAAGAAAGAACAATGGTCGCAAAACTGTACCCTGAGGAACACCATGTTCTACAGTTATGCAATCAGATACGCAATTTTTATATTTCGTTTTTTCTATCCTATCTGTTAAATACGAACGAAGCCATTTATACGCTGTTTCCTTAATACCTATTTTCCCAACAGTCTATTTATTGTTTCGAAAGCCCGCTTAAAATCCAAAAATATAGCCAACACAAATTTACCATCCTCCAAGGTCCTCGAGAAATCATCACAGATTCACATGAATGATTGGAGCGAAAACCCAACTGGTTAGGCACTAAAATATTGATTACGTCACAATAACTTTGCAGCTGATGTTTCACCACAATCTCAAGAACCTTCTCATAAACTGGAACGGTAGTAATTAGCCTAAATTCTTGACATAGATTGATGTTGGGAACCTTCTGTACAGGGATCACCATTGATGTATTCCATGCCCCCGGAAAAATTCCACTCGTAAGGGAGGTGTTCACAATGTCCAACAATCGATTTCCAACAACTGCACAGGCATCAATCAATATACCACACTCTTCACCAGTCACTTTTTTTAATTCTCTTATTATTTTTGTTAGGTCCTGCATATTTACGGTGATGAGGTATTAAACAGAAATAACTTTCGAACGGTTTAACACAGGGCCTTCAGATTTGGATTCAGATCCGAAGCCGGCGTCCATCTTTCTTTTTCAATTTTCAACTGTTTTTTGGACATCGTTATGAAATACGATAAGTATCAGAATTTTAAAGCTATTGACTCTAAGTTTGGCACTCGTATAAAGTTTAGTTCCCTTACCAACCCTGTTGAAACTGGAGGGGCTGGGGGGTCGGGAAGTATTTTTAAAAGATTAAAAACCACCTTCGCAAGGGTTTAAGAAAAAAATTTAGCAAAGAAGAAGATTTTTATTTTATTATTTTGGCTTCCAGAAGAAAAAAACATTTTCTAGAAAACTACTAACCCAATCGGGAAAATTATTTAACCAAGAAACGCGGAAGGTCCGGTGTTATAACTTTTATTTTTTCGATTATATGCAGGGATTTTCAATTATGGACAGAAATCTAAAAGACCCCGAAAACTCTTCGGAAATGATTTCTTCGAATAGTATAAGCCGCATCTGGAGCTACAATTTTTGTATTTACGATTTTTAGCTATCACATACTGTGTTCGAGATATTTGAAAAAATCCATATGAAAATCGCTATTCCACGCGCACAGTTTCGACGCGATGACATCATTGTTTGCTTTATACAGGGAGCATGCATAGCTTCGCGATGCGACGAGATCTCGAAAACAATCTTGATTTTTGCCTATATAATTTTATTGGGTTCATCTTCTTCGAGCTTCCTTTGCACTTGATCCCTTTTATCATATCTTCTTCACCATTGTCCAGGCATTAAGGTTGAAAATCCCTTTTGTTTTCTTTCATTCAATGTTAAAAACGACGACAATGATATTTTTGTAAGCGGCTAGACGTTTTCTTTAAAATTTCATCGAAAGCCAAGACGATATACTTCGAAACACACTTTACCTAGGAGGACCTATCGAATCTCATTTCGAGGGTTTTCCACGAACCATTCGTAGCCTTAGTCGGTTCTACTTCTGCGTAGCGACTACGAACTGATAATCAACTTCCTGACATGGTAAATAACTTTAACGTACTTACGACGCGACGCTCAACTTTATACGCCTGCTGCTTGTTTAAAGGAATTTGCATAATGCGCAAGCGAGCAGTTTGAAGTTATTGTATTAAAAACACAAATCACGGGGCATTGTTGGGTCGAAACCGCGTCGACGGGGAGCTTCTCGGAGGGTAATAAATCCGCCTACCGCGATATAACGCGAGTTTTATTTCCGCTATAAAAGTTAAACTTATGCCCGGAAAAATGTTTATACGCGAGAAAGGGAAGCATACGTGATCATAGTTTTGAAAAAAATGTCCCAAAGATAATTAATTTTGTTTAATTGTGCTATAAAATGAACGTTACCAGAATACAGGGCGGGAATTTTATCAAAAGGCAAACAAATTTTAATTGCAAATAAACATTTCAAATTCAAATTTTGAAACGGAGAGCCTACATTTCTTACAATGAAAATAAAATATCAAAAAATAATATGTAAATAATTTAACTAAAAAAATTAATCATGTTCTTTTTTTTAACTTATAAATTATCTTATAAATTAATAAAATCTATTTTTTTACTCCATCAAAAAGTAAAAATTTTAACATATATTTTCTAATTTATTAAAAATATCAGGAAGATATTTGATCAAAATAAATAAGAACTAAAAGTTCAGATTTTTACGAATTTTTTTTTATCATAAAAATTGATAAGGACACCGTGTAGTCGAAACAATTGTAATGTCATAATATATAATTTCGTGAAAATCTGAACTTTTAGTAATTATTTATTTTGATAAATGGATTTTCATCAAGTAAAAGCCATGACTGGCAATGTTAACTAACTAGGTCTACTTCAAACTATGTATGAAGAACCTGACGCGGAAAGATGCTAAAAGTAGCAAAAAAGTCCAGTTGGTAATGATCATTCGCAATTTTTTTTCAAAGAAACTTCCACAAATCGACGCATTGGGATCATTAGCAAGTTTTCCCGATTTCTTAAGAACTTTCAATATATAATCACTAATGTTTTGAACGTGGCAAGTGTGGGCTTGTTTTCGGTCTCACTTTCTCTGAAAGGTTGTGGTGAACTCTATTTTGAGATGGAAAGCTTAATATCTCTAATGTTGAAATTATTCAAGGGAAGATCAAATGTTATGTCTCTTGAACCAGTGATTTAAGGACGAGATAGTTTTACATCTCTGCAAACAAATGACTTTTGGTTTGGAGAGTGATGTGACAATAGATTCAAGTTTCTGCCTGTGCGTAGGTTTTCTGTAAATTGAATGACCACAACGGGTATAGGGTGTAAATGGAAAGATTTCTTACCATGAGGTCAAATAACAAAACGAAGAGTCTCCTCACAGCCACATGCATTGTCAAATCATCATCCAGACCAAAGATCATTGGTTATCAACTCTCTTGTTCACAGAGTCGTAAAAATATCTCATCCCTAATCACTATATCCAGAATTAAAAACACCTAATATTTTTTCTTCCAACCCCCAAAAGTCAAATGCAACCTCACACTTGCAACCACGGTCCTTCCTTACATTCAAAACAAAGTTCTTAAAATACATAATGTTAAAACCAGATTTACCACTTGTCCAAAAATCTCTCATCAAAGACAAACTTTGCAGCATATCATACCATGTGCAACAGGACGAAAAGTATCAACTAGACTAAAACAAGAATATAACACAGAACATCTCGAACACCCTGTACAATATGTGAAAACCTCACATACAAAAGTTTTAGCGGTCCGCGGGGGCTATATGGTTATAAGAAACTGAAAACTGAAACCCAGCATTCGCTTCTTGGTCGATAAGGGGAACCTAATTTTCGTTTTTTGCAAATTACGGACGCCCCTGTACATTCTATGAAATCTTCAAGTGTAAACGTTTTTGGTGCAGATCTCCTTATATGAATACAATGGCATAAAAACTAGGAAAATAATATTTATGGATAAAATCATAATAACAAGAACATTATCATAATGAAGAACTAAAATTTAATAATATAGCTGAAATTAGTATGAATACAAGTCAATATTAGAAATATTGATTGATATATATAGATACAATTAACAAAACAATTAATTAACAATAAGTTAATATTCTCATATTATCAACAAAAATAATGGGGACGATTGGATTGGATTGGATTCTTTTTTTTTTTTCGAAAACGAGAACCGTTATTGTGTCGAAAGCGTCAAGCTTCGCGTCTTTCCAATTATACCCGTCCGATTCTATTCTCGGACAAAGCGCAGCGGACCTCCCTCATTATTGACCCCCACCCCCGCCCCAGCCGGCGACCGCTTTTTCCGGTTGTTTGCCGGCGGTTGTTTACGACGTTGTGCGACCGAATATGCCGCGTTTTAATGACGTTGCAAATTTTAAAAACAAAAAAAAGGCTTAAAAAATTACTCTATTTCAAAATTTTATGCGTGCAGTTTCAAATTTTCGCGATGGCGCGAGTTTTTTCCTGGCACCGCGGAAATTGAATTTGAAATTGAAATACAAATAGAAAAAAAAAAGAAATGCTTTATCATGCCTTTTATCTTATAACTCTATCTTATCTAATAAGCATTTAAATGTATACAATTTTCAGAACATATGCATCGAAATAAAAAAAAAAACGCTAATATGCATTTTTGTTATATGAAAATTTTGTGATTATTAATGATATTTTTAAAAAATCCAGAGCACTTTCTTTATAACTAAACCCGCTCTTCTAATTTATTTACGTGTACTACAGACCAATTTGAATAAGTGTAAATGAAAATACGGGGGCAGCGCCAAAATTTCCCGGCCTGAATATGAAAGAAACAAAATAGAGTAACAATTTTTTTAAATATTTTTCAATATAATCCCCCTTAACTTCAATTCACTTATTACATCTCTTTATTCACAACTCAATTCCTTCAAAAACAGTATTCTTTTGGTTTATCTGCAAAATGAGCTAAAATAGTATCTTTTGACTCAACTTCGTCATTAAATCGCCGTCCACGTAAGCCATTTTTCAAATATCCAAACAAATAATAGTCGCTGAGGGCCATATCTGGGCTATCTGTTGGAACCCACACTCTAAAATGGCAGGTTGTGCAACACCAGCAGTATGGACAGGTGCATAATGAGAAAGGAAAAAAATAGGGATTTACAATATACTGCTTTTATCAAGGCCAGATTGATCCTACTTTGGATAAACTAAAAAGGAATCTAGAAGAAGATGAAACCAATTATATTGACTAAAAAACAAGTGGTAACCAACAGAAAATTTAAAGGTATAGATAAGAAAACAGATTTTTAATTAACCTACATGAAACTTGGTCTGATACACACGATGGTCTATTCAGAACATGGATTGATATCGCCGCATATCTTAGTTTTTATATATCTACATAAACTAGGCTTCAGTCTGGTTTACCGGGGTTAAGTTTGAATAGCCTTAGGCTTTACTTCGTCCGGTATATAGTTATTTTATTTGTATATTATTTTTTTTTGTGTACTATTTTTTTTTGTATATTATTTATTGTATATTATTATTATTTGTATATTCCGTAATAGCTACCAGGAAAGCACGACCCGAATATTTTTTTTTATGCGATCCGCTTTTCATAACCACAGGTGGTGAAAATGTTCTTCCTGGTCGTGATGATATTCGGCCTGTGCTGGCTACCATACCACGCCTACTTCATCTACGTCTACTTCGACACGGAGGTGATATTCGGCAAGTACACGCAACACGTGTACTTGAGTTTCTATTGGTTCGCGATGTCCAACGCAATGGTCAACCCCCTGATCTACTACTGGATGAACACTAGGTAAACTTTGCCGAATTTACTGCGGCAGTATTCGATGTACTTAACGAAATCCGGCATGAAAATGAAGCACTTAATTTGTGGACTTGCTAAAAGACTTTTATTGCCGAAAAGAAGGCGCAGGCATATTTTAGCATCTAATCGGTTATCTTAAACCTCGAATATCTCAAAAAGTAAGAAAAATTTAAATATAAGATTAATAACAAACTTGAGATTTTATTAATTGAATTCGCCAAAACGGCACCACCTATTTGGGACACCCTGTATAATCTGAGACGCATCTGTCAAACTGATTGAGTAGTGCATCATCTCCTTCGTCCGTGGTTCAATTTTCGTTGCAATTTCTAGATCAGTAGCGTCACAACACTATTTTATATGGGGCAAGTAAAATATGAAAAAAAAAACACATATTTTCACTTCCTGCTTAAACTATACAAAATTCGAATAGGAATTTCTTAAGACAGTGACCTTTATTTTAACCAAGGATTCAAAAAATCAAAAAATTTCCTGGTGTTCCATTTAAAATAGCAATGATTATGTCGCGGGGGACTTTTGGGACACCCTGTATCAACAAAATTATTAATTTCATTAGAGTTCAAGAAATTTTTACACGAAACTTTTTCTCGTATCTCTTAGAGTTTTGAAGTATTTTGTCATAATAATATTGTTATGACCAGGCAAAGATTTTTATTATTTTTTTTAATCAAGAAATTAAATTTATTTACAAATGATTGGAAGTTGTAGGAATAATTTTTATTTTAAGAGAAATCAATGTCTGCTAAAATAGACACGTCATTTGAAGTTTTTTTTTTTTGAAAATGTACCCAAAAATCTCCCAAGAATTATTGACATTCGATTAGAAAACATCCCATATATTACTGCCATACCACAGACTACAAAAGTGCGGCGACACACAGAACCAAAGAATAGTAATTGTACCATAGAACAGAGTAAAGGTTCCATATTCTTTAACGGTATTGACGGACGTTTTGGACAGGTTCCGACAGTACTTCCAGACCGCGTGTACTGCTCTAAATTTCCATCAATAGAATTTAAAACTGCTTCTTCAATTTTTATAGTTCTTAAAGTCCAATGGGCCCTTTTTAAATTATTATTTGCCGTCAACGTATCTGTTGCAGTCAACCTTCTATGTATATTTGAAAATGTTCCTATAAAGATTTAAAAAAGGCACCTTAGAGTTTTGCAGGGGTTTTTAATTTAATTTTAATGTCTGCTAAAATAGACACGTCATGTGAAGTTTTCTTTTTAAAATGTACCCATAAATCTCCCAAGAACTATTGACAGAACCAAAGAATAGTAATTGTATCATAGAACACAGTAAAGGTTCCATACACTTTAACGCTATTGACAGGTTCCGGCAGTACTTCCAGACTGCCGTGTACTGCTCCAAGTTGCGGCGTATTTTGGGCGGCAAGAAACGAAAACTCAACGTGTCACGGGTGGAATCGCACAACTCTTATTCCAAATCGCGTAAGGCACACCTTGTTTTGTATTTTAATCAATACTGAATGGAATATCGTGGACAGGCGACGGTAGCAGCGTCAGGGTTCGTAACAACAAGCGTCAGGACAACATCAACCACAACTTGTCGGAAGTGAACGCGGTCAGGGAATTGGACCCGCGGAGCAGCACCAAGATCACCAAGACATCGATCAAAAGGGACACCCAAAAGATCACCACCAACGTATAAAAATCAACGGGACACTATACACTTTTGTAAATTTCCAAGGGATTTGTAAAATATTTTTTTAATTCGCCAAGACTGCTGAACGTACTGTACATATCGGGTGCTTAAAGTAAATGTTATTAAATGTGAGACCAGGCTGCTCACATTGATAATGATTACCGATCTAGGATTACAAAAATCATAGTGTTTACGTAACGTAATTGTGTTCTTTACAATTAAATATACGTATAAAAAAAGGTTTAAGGCAACTAGGATATACAGAAAGTATACAGAGTGTCTGTGTAGTTAAAAAAAGGATACTTTTAAAGCTGTGATAAAAAGTATAATGCAATTATACAAGATACCAACAAGGTAGCTCAGAAAATATAATTAAAAGGCGGAAACTTAAATGGAAAACCTTAAAAGCGGTTAAGAATTATCTTATCCTCATTAACCCATATTATCCCAACCATTTCAAAAAATTTAAAAAAAAATGCTTTTTTGCTCTGAAATTATTTATTTTGTTGCACTTAAGAATGCATTACATGTGTCAAAAAAAAAATTCGAAACATACAAAAAAATACTGGTGCGGAAACGAACCACTAGGAAAAAACATTGAATAATGTTGTGGGGCACATAAGATGTAACATATAATCTATACATAAATATACAAAAGAAAGTTTAATTTAAATTGTGTGGCTGTGGCAGATTCTACATCTCCTTCGGGCTTTATTAGCACGAACAATCATGAGGTGACCTTGACGAAGTGAAGGTTGATGATTGTCATGAACGTGATGAAAAAGGAAGCTAAAAAGCTTTATCCAAAACACAAAGAAATAATATGGCCACCTATCAACATAGATCTCATAGAAGTAGTATTATGGACTCTAGATGAACTCAGAGACGCAGCAGGCTAAGATGAGCTAAGAAAACAAGATGGCACGAAATATTGAAGTAATACAGGACAGGTGGTTCCGACGTTTCCTGCAAGGAGGGAGACTGTGAGGCGGTTTTTTACTAGGTAAAAAATGTCGCCTTACTTTTTGAACACACCTCGTATAATTTAATTAATTCATACCAGAACTCATAAAGAAGTTTAGGTTCAAAAAGAATTTCATTTCTTGAAAACAGCCTCGTTGCTAGACCACGTTTTACTGAATAAGAAGTAAATAATGTGGTAGTAAATTAAAGAAATTAATGGCAATCAAGATACTTGACCGAGACAAAGAAAGATAAAAAGAAAAATAAAAAAAGAAATATGCTTCCATAACATATAAGTTTTTGGCATTTGTTTTGAAACACCTTGCAAATGGTTCAGATTAAATAAAATCCTTTATCAGAATTCTGAACGCTCAAAGTCATATCTGCATTTCGAAACTCCCTGTTTAGTTCTTACGGTTGTAATCCTACATAGGTAAGCGTTATCACTGTTCGCCCTCTCTCGGAATTCGAAGTTGTATTTGTGACGTCAGTAACCGATCAAAACGATGTACGCATGTCTCTTGCATTTTTGACATTACTCGATTCGTCGAAATATATTTTTGTGTACAGACCCGGCCGTTTTTCTTGTCGCATGTGTTAAGAATACAACACCTACCTTTAATCTGACTCCGCACTAAATAAAGAGTCTATTTCGATCAAAACTGAAATTTCTGGATGTTTTTTTGTTATATAAAGGCGCGAGTATCAAACGGCTTAAAAGAGCAGGCCATGGATTTCAGGACGGAACGCGATCTCAGGTGGCCAACACATGCTCCCAACTTGAACGTTGGCGTAGTGGTCTGTGGTTCCAATTCGAAACGAAAGCTTATCCGTTTGCGAAGCTGACTAGATTGCAAATCGTTATAGCTTGACAAAATAAGTAATTATACATTTTATAAGTACTTTAGACATGGAGCATTATTGGAATATTTACTGTTGTTACACTAAACCTAGCATCCCATAAAAGGAAATATACAGAAATAGTAAATAATGAAAAAAAGTGTCGATATTAAATGTGCAATATTATGAAACAAAAAATAATAGTAGAAAATCAGCCATAGTTGACAACTCAACATGTTTAAAAACAGTAGAGAAATAGCGCATTTAATTCAGGGGATTATTGTTTTGATAACAGATATCTGTACAGCCTTTAATGGTTTAAATTCATTCGATAGATTATCAAATACTTTTGCTACGCAATAACAATGGGAGGGCTTGAAAGTTTCCATAGTGTTTCAAAACAAATGCAAACAACATAACAGATGAATGGGTAGTTTGTCATATAAACGTCGAATCAAAAGCGAACTGTTGAGGAGATATGGCGGACAAATAATGTTATTTTTTTATTAAAAATTTTTGATGGACAATAAATTTCCAGTAGTAAATTTTTCTTTAAACTTCGTAAAGCAAAATGACTGCAGTCTAACTCAATAACATCCATGCAATTTAAAAATATAAGAAAATGTACAGAAAGCGTGCTTTTATAATAGTAATCTTCTAGAATATTTTATTGTTCTATCTATTTTTGTTATTAATATAAAAAAAACGTTATTTTGCCGCCATATTTGTGACATCATATCTTAATGATTGGCTTTCGGCCCAACCACCCGCACAGACTATTATCACAGACCACCCTTAATTTTAAGCAAAGAATCCCTCTATGTTCTTCGCGTTCGTTTTGTTTGTTTTATAAGTACTGTGGCGTCTTCAGTGTATTTATAATAAAGGCAGCTGCAGAATATAAAAAAGACAATTTTTTATATTTCACCACTTGTTTTGAGCTTGAAAAGTATTTTTCCGTCTCACTCAATACATAAATCCATAAAAATACATACTTATATATTATGAATTTATTTACTCAGTTGTCAGGTAAAAATTTGACAATGTCATCTGGTCATGGCCAACTAATGTTATAGCATTAGTCTTAAACAGAAAGAAGGGTAAATATTGGAAAAGTTAAAATAAACCTCAAAGTATTAAACATGGGTATATACAGAGCAAAAGTTGTAGGTTTTTGATGTATGCGGTATTTAAGAAAATCGAGATTTTTTAATTTAAAATTTTCCAAATATATTAGCATATTTTCAACATCTCGTAGCATCTAGGTCAAATTCGCATATATCTTTTACGTAATTTTTGAATAGCCATAATGTCCAATCTTAGAATTTAAAAATAATAATTTTTTTTTCACATTTCAAACTGTTGTTATTTTTAGAAAAATTGAAATTAAAAAATAGGAAAACCATTAGTTTTGGATACGTATTATTGAAGAATTTTAAAAGGAACCAAAACACAATTCAAAAATAGAGTGTGCCAGTATAAAAAAATGTATGTTTTATTCGTCAAGCTTTATTGAGCCACCTTGTATACTTTAAAATAATTTTAAGTTGTGCGTCCTAATAATCTTTGCAACTTTTGGCATTTTCTCGTAAGTTTTGAAACCAGTGAGACAAAATACTATGAGCTATATCCTCACAGTCGGATATACTAACGACGTCCGAAGTAGCATAACTGGATATCCTTAGTATGTCCTAATAAACATCCTAAGGACATACGTCTGATATACTGTGGAGGTTCCAATTAGTAACATCGTATATCCTTGAGACATCTTAGCATATCCGCTATGTCCCGTCAGATATCCAGAGGAAGTTTTACGGACGTCCCTGTGGTATTTGGTTTGCGGCCTCCATAATTATATCTAAATCTAAAAAAAATAAATAACGCGGTGATTCCGCGACTACTTCTCGGTAAGCGGTCGGATTTCAGCGCGTATCGGCGGAAAATCCGAAAGAAACGAGGGAACTCCGCCGGGGATTACCGACGGTAGGCAACCAACCTTACGCGCGCCTTGACACACCTGTTAGTTTACCTGCGTCACTGCAACACGCTAGCGTGTTTTTCTGGGACAACGGCACTTTGTTTTCGGTAGCGCAATGGGTGTTCCAGTTTCGATATTTTAGTGGTGAGACGGGCGATAAAATTCGCTTTTACGTTTATTTTTAACCGGGTATTAAAGAAAAAACAATAGAGAGAGGTGTCTTTATTTCGCTCCGGAGTAGGATAATCCCGAACTCATTTAAAAGCGATTACTTGACCCCGACCAGGTTAATTAACGGCAATTTTAATTGCGCTGTTTCTTTTCGTGCGTGCAGCATGCGGAAGTCGTATCTCGTCGTTCAGTTGCTGGGGCTCCTGTCAGCCGCCGCCCCCAGGCTGAGCAAGTGCGGTAACAAGCTGCTCGAGCCGTGTTTTTGCGGAGAACAGTTCGTGGACCAAAGCACCATGTTCGTGGTTAATTGCACCAACACAGGTTTCACCAATACCGACGTGCTGTTGGACTTGCCCGAACAAACCGAAGTGCTGATTTTCTCAGGTAGGCATCGAATGTAATTTGTTATTATGGAAAACCACACACCCGCGCCTACGAAAGCGACGCGTGACTGTTAATCCAGTTGCCTAGTCACTCTATTAGGGATAGAACACGTTTTGGTTAGTTGCGGTTAGTGGACACGATCCAATTGCTACTTGTTGCATTTTTAACTGGCAATTTTTGATGGGATGGGATCAAATTTTGTTTTTAAAGGTTAAATGGCGAAAATATTTTTACTAGGTTTTTAATAACTTGTGGGCATAAAAGAAAAATCCACAATCCCAAAATACTGTAAACGAGAGAAATGTAGTAATTGTATTAATTTATGTGTTCTGTGAAACTGATTTGTTTGCTTGTTTACTGACATGTTGCTTTCGATGAATCGATGAAGTCGATTTTTTTGAAAAGCATACACTCCTGGCAACGAAACTTATATCTCGACAGCGGTACGTCCACAAGGGTTTCACAAAACTATAAACTCGCGGATAACAAAATGGTATGCAGATGATATGCAAATATACTTATCATTCTCGGTCAAAGATGCAGCTTTGTCTTACAATGGCATAAATGAGGATCTTGAAGTGATTTCTAGAATCTCCAAAGCCCATGGTCTGAAATTAAATGATTCCAAGAACCAGGTTGTTCTTTTTGGTAATAAAAAAGAGGAAATTATCCAGTATAATGAATGAATTTGTCGACAAATGTAAAAACTTAGGAGTCTTTCTTGATAGTAAGCTGCTTTTTGATTCTCACTGGTCTTATTTACTGCAAAAGTCCTACGAAAAACTGAAAGTACTAGTCTATTTTTTTGTCTTTTTTATCGCGTTTTACTTTGTTTAAAATTGTCAAATTGTGAATCTTGGATGGACTTAAGGGACTTATTTATATTTGCTAGTTTTTTTTCTTGTTAAATTATCAATATATTACTACATTCTATCGGTGGTTATGTGGAGTAGTGCTGCCAGACCTCGCCACCTGTTCAACTCTCTTTTTGTTCTACTCTAATAAAGGCTATTTATTATTATTATTATGATTATTATTATTATAACCGTTATTGAATGCACTTCGTCTAATCGTCGTCAATTCTAATAATATTTGCAAAACTTCTGGATTCCTCCTGCGTCGGTTGGCATCTTCACAGCTTAACTAAAACTGTTTCAGTTAATACAGAATATACTCCGGATTTAGAAAAATAATCTCTCGGATTTTTAATTTTAATTATAAATTGCTTTAACGTATTGTTTGTTTTAAACGCTATAGATAGATTTCTGCCCTTGAACGACTGGTATTTGTAAAAAAATTTGTTGATTGAACAAATTTTTATTTTAAAAAGGCAATAACCCATTGCTAGTCCTGTAGTTCTCTAAGGGAACCTTCTTAAACTGCTGGCAGGTCGAGGACGGTTTTTAAACATTTGAAAACTAAATTTTCAATGGTTCAAGATACGTTTTTTTTTTCTCAAAAATGGTTACTAAGATTAAAAAAATTCTTGTACCGGAAAACGATCCGGATCTAAAAAAAAAATATAAACAGGTAGTAATAGATTGTTAATTAACGGTGTAGGATTATAAATTTAAATTTAACAACAGAGACGCATTTAAATTCAATTGGTCATTAAGTAATGGAATCGAATATCTGATTTTGTTAATCTCCATAGCTTCCAACTAATTTAGTTTTTTGTCTTTTGATTGATTATGTAAAATGTCAAAATTATCGTCAAAGTTGGTGCATTTCTGAATTAAAATGAATAGTTAGAATCCGAACTTTTATTTTTATACGCCCTTCTATGTTCGTTAATGCGTTTCTTAAATGTTCTACCTGTTTTTCAAAAATGTCCTGCCATGTTTTCGGTTTTAAAAGCAATATTAAGACCAAATTTAGATGGATTTGTCGAAATTTTCTTCCTAAGTTCTTCTATCTATTTTATTGTTTTAAAGTTTTGGGTTCGGTGTTTAATATGAGATAGATAGAGTTCGCAGTTATTTTAAACTGATTTTTAGTTCTAATCTTATCTATCAAGAGGGGTCGTCGCCATCGTTAAAAGCTATTTGTTTTATAATATTTAATTCTTCTTCAAAATTTTCTGTGGAAAGTGGCATATTAAGTAATCTGCGGGCAAAAGCATAAAAGGCAGCCATTTTGTGCGTATAAGGGTGATTTGAGTTATTATGTATTATTTTGTCCGTGTGTGAGAGTTCCAGTGCGAGGCTTTATTTTTCAACGAAGCCGCTTAGACACGATTAACGATACTGTTTTAAAGGAAATTATCCAATTTTTATCAGTTTTTCCTTTATCGCCAATAATTTACCCACAAAACCCGAAATTTTGGGGAACTTTTAGATTTTCGGCTTATAATCGAGACACGCTGTATATAATTAAAACAATATTCGAAACTGAGGTTCTAGCCCTGGATCTCCCACTTTTTCCAGTATATCGTTAGGGTGGATGGTTTTCGAGAAAATACTTGTTATCTCAAAGCACGCAGTACGAGGTAATAGTAAATGACGTCATCACGTCTAGATGGAGCCCGAGAAATAGCGATTTTCATATGGATTGTAGATGTAGACGAAAATCGTAAGTACAGGCATTGTAGCTCTTGACGTGGCCTATAATACTGTTTAAACCAATATGATATATTTTTTACGAAATTTGTTTTTTTTTTAAATATTTATTACTTATCTGCTAAATCTGTTTCCCCCAGGCAACCACATACCGTCGCTACCATCGAACCTGTTCGGTGAAAACGCCTACATGTCCCGTTTGAAAGTGATCGACCTCACCAACAACGGTATCCGCGAGATCAGGGGCAAAACCTTCCACCACGTGGCTAACGTCGAGCGTCTCGTCCTAGATCACAACAACATCTCGATAGCCGACGAGGAGGACAAGAACTTCCACCACCCCCGCGTCTTTTCCAACTTCGTCAACCTCCAGGAGCTCCACCTGACGAACGCGTTCGCCGACAACACCGACTCCGCCCTCGCGGACGACCTCCACGACATCTTCGTCAACAGTAACCTCACGAAACTGTATAAGTTGCACCTGGAGCAGAACGAGATCAAAAACTTCAAGGACGAGACCGTGTTCTGCGACCTTCCCGACCTCCACGACCTTCATTTGGGCGACAACGACATACCCAGCCTGAACTTCGACGTTACGTGTTTGAGAAAGCTGCGCTACTTGGACCTGGAGTTTAACAACATCACGGAGTTCACGCAGAGGGAGTTGGACGCGTTGGACGCCCTCGCGACCTCGCCGGGTCGCGAAGAAAACCTCCAAGTGGAGGTGAACGGAAATCCTTTAAAATGCGAGTCGGTTATACGGAGGTTTTACCCGTGGACGCAGACGTCGAGGGTGCAGGTACGCCATCTTGAAAACCTCGAGTGTGCGCAGGCCAAATACGGAAAAAAGTATCCCGTGAAGGTGATGTCTTTGATCGAGTCGAGACACGTGAAGATTTCGCAATCTTTGACGGTTTTGCTCGCGGTGTTGCTCTGCGTGTTGATCAGCCTGATGGTGGCGTATTTCTATCTGAAACGCGATCAGATGAGGAGTAGGTTTTCGCCCATACTCGAGGCAATCACGAGGAAGGTCCAGTACACCACCATCGAGGCGCAGGACGTGTGAAAAATTCAGGCTGTCCTTGAAAACTCTTGGGGGCGTATTAATATTCTAGGTATTACACAGCCCAACCAACCGGACAGTTAGGCAGTGAGGTCATTAAATCCAGGTTGAGTTGAAAAAATGACATTTTTATGTATAAATTACGCAGTTTTTTACATATGTGGTTGAAGCCTTCTCTAAAACATTTATTTCGTTCAATAAATTTTAATTGAAACAAACTAACGAAAACTAATAATGATTTAATAAACGTCGGTTGCAAGATATTTCAGGGACACCCTGTATAGACCAAGCTCGAATATTTTCAGCACTAGAAAGCTTCTGTGATTAAAATGTAGGTTAAGTTTACGATTTCCGGCAACGTTGTGATAATCGTATATGTCCTAGGCTGCTGGAAAACTAAATAAATGTTGACACGCCGGATGGAGAATTTTTGTATATTTTGTTTAATTTTATACGTGCCACTAATGCGCATAGATTTATGATAGTACTTACCAGACAATTTGTATTCGTTTTTTTTATGTATATTTTTAAACGCGAGATTCCTAATAAACAATGGAAGAAAAACCTTCTTTCTATCCAGTCATTTACCAAAAAAGAAGAAGAAGAAACAAACCACAGATCACTGCGTCTAAATATAAAAGCCCAAAGATCGGTTTATCAATAGAGAATTTTAGACATCTAATAAGCCATGAGGTAACCTATAACCTTTAACGTTTAGATTATCCTGTATTTCACTAGAAGTAAAGGAAGAAGAGGATCAAATCAGAATTTCGAAGCTAATCGATTGCAGAATGATCTTGGTAGTCGTGGCTATAGAAGTAAAGAAAAAGTTTATCGACTAAAATGGAAAGATCGTAAAAGTCTTGAAATAGAATACCGTTATTGGGCGAATCACCGAGACAATTTTGCCCGGGTACAAAAATGAAAAAAAAATTTTTTTTTTAATTTTTGTTGCTTCATGATTTGTGGTTTTCTGTGAAGCTTATTTGCTGTGGACGCGTTACCTGCCAAATTATCAATTGGAAATACAATAGGCGAATATTACAGGCAGAATTGAATATAAGCCAAAATATATATAATAATATATAACCTTTAATCTCAAATTGAGACATGCATGTTTCGAATAACGATTCGTGATTTTTGTAAAGCTTTTTGCTGACGATACGTCTCTAACTTAAATATAAATCGGAAACGAAAGAGCGGCAATGGGCGAGTGGCCCACCCAAAATTGCCCGTATACTAAAATAAAGAAAAAGTTGAGACTGATGATTCGAGATTTTCTGCGAATCTCCTTTGCTGACTATGCGTTGTTGTTCTAAAATGAAGAAATCTTTTTTCTTTTAATCTCAAGTCGATGCGGAGAAAGTTGTGAATGGTGATTAATGGTTTTCTAACAAGCTCTCTTGCTATCCATATATATCTTCTATATATTGCTTTGAGACTCATTATGTAAATTGTAAACAGTTTCAGTTTCCAAAACTTTGGTACAAATAATGTAATCGTTTAAAACGCGCTCTTCTGTATTTATTTTGGAACCTAAAATAGCAAGATTTTTTTCTAGCAGAATCATACGAATTCTGTAAACGACCCCAAGAGGTGTTGGTGTCCATCGGGGTATGCTTCTTATTTGAAAAAAAAAGTTCTCCAAACTATGCCGATTTAATTTATGAGTACAAATATATTTAATATCTAAAGTGGACTTCATGTCTTCAAACATTTTTTGTAAAGAAATAATTGACATTAATATGCCTTTTTGAAAGTCATTAGGGTATTTTTTTCAACAACTCTCATAATATAAATTAATTCGTACATTTTTTTTAAGTGGTCATTTTTTGACAGGACACTCCCGTTTGGAACATAGCTATTAAAAATATCGAACCATAAATTAACATCACCTATAAAGTTACCCAAATCCTTTGAAATTTTCTTATCTTCTCCCAGCTTATAATGTAAAAGAGCAGTAGAAACATTATTAGAGAGAAGTTGCGCAGCAAGTCGCACATTTTGACATTTTTTTTTCCAACAAGCATTGACTTCACTATCGGTTAAGGAGACCCGAGCCTGATTTTTATTTAAAATTAAATTGTCCTTTAGCTTAAATCCCCTATCTAAAAGCCAGTTACGCAATAATTTTAACAAATGTTTAACATCAGCAAACATATAAATGTTATTATTGGAAATGGGATGCTTAAATGACGTGTTATTTATATGGAAGCCTAATACTTTCCATAGTCGCACATTACTTGCCCCACAATCACTTACTCAGGCCACCACATTAAATGATATTTTGTGAAGTGCAATAATAATGTTAAACAAAATTTCTTTGGTTATTTTTTGGTCAAAAGCAATAAAAGTAGGTTGCTTCCAGTTTCAAAATAGGCCTCGAGCCATAGCAACTTGCATATTGTTATAAGTACCGTCTTTAATAGTGTCATGCTATTTTTTCAGTTGTTTTAGATTTTGAGTATATATAATATTTAGTATTGAAATATCTAAGTTGATCATTAAGAATTTTATTTTTTTTATAACTTTTGATAAAATGACCTTTAGTTTTAATAGAACTAGTTTCTAGCAAAGAATATTTTTTGGTTAAATTGTTAAACAAATTATTTGTAGTTCTTTATTGAAGGCGAACTAAGCCTTGCAGACTGAGAAAAACAAAAAATTGCGATATTTTGTCTAATAGTAATAATATGAATGGATTGTAATAAAGCAAATACTTTAAAATAATTTTTCTTAAAAATATATTTTTTTTATTTTAATCTTAAATTGATACGGAAAAAGTAATAGTGATTTATACGAGGCTCGGCGCTTTTTCAGCCAAAGCATAAATCAGATGCCAAAAATGATGGCCCAGGCAATATTCCCATATTCTAAAATAAATTGATGCGGAAACGGCAATTCGTAATTTTACCAATCAAAATATATATCGACAATGAAATGCCGGCAAAAAAACTGAAGAAATCTCTTATTCTCAAAGTAATACGTAAAAGTTGGCCGAATGATCCTAGCAGTCGTAGCCAACAGAAGTAAAAGAAGAAGAATACGTAAAAGTATGGAATGCTTTACCCCCCCTCCAACGCCACAAAATTATAAATCAGAAATGAAATGTCGGAAATGAACGAGCGATCCACGCAACTTTGACGTGATTCTTGTTTTTCTATAAAGCTCTTTTACTGTCCATTTGTTAGCAACTAAAGCCTAAAACAAAAATTAAATGCCGACAATGGGCGAATGGCCCAAGCAGGATTAGACATTTCTGCAGTTCGTGATACTTTCAAACTGCTCTCATACTTAACGCGGATCTTTCGTTGATCATTAAAATTTCCACTGCTCATACTTTAGGAAGTTTGGGCGGGATAGACTTGAGCTTGGTGTTTTTATAAACTGCAAATTTAGAATTCCTACAACGCCTTCTTGATAGAACTTCTATTGTTGTCGGGTTAAAGATAAAATCATAGTCGAAAAGTTAATGATATATGCGATAGGCTAGATTCAATATTGGTTCGCATTAGACCACGGAATATTCTTCTTCTTTACCTTTTACACAAGGTTGGACCCTGCTGCATATTAAGAGTGTGATAAAGCATAAATCAATATTGTAGTTAACTAACCCGTTTGTTTTACTTTGTCTGCTGATAACTTACCATTATAGATACCACCCAAATCTAGTGGGATGTCGAACAACATAACCAAAGATGTTTCCGAAAAATGAAACAAATTATAAAATGAATGTGACACCAATACACTGCAGTTTGATTAACATTTCCATGGATAACCAGGTAGTATTATTCCAATTTTTTTACACCAATTTCCAAGTTAAAATTTCAATTTCAATTGATGCCAAACGCTTACTTCGCAATTTTTCCTCAAAATGTAACTGCAACTTTTCTACCATTAAACCAATTGCATAATTCTTGAAGGACATATTTCCATATAACATTCTTTTTCAAAGAAACTTCCACAGGGTACTGTAATACTTTTTACAACACTTCTGGATTTACTGAAACTCACAGTCAAGCTCTGAAGAAGCCAACAGGATAATTGGCGAAACGTCAGCAATTTCGACTCAGCAAAAACCGACGATCCAGAAGTTTTGTAAAAAGTATTCTTCTTCTTTACGTTTCACACACGGCTGGACACGACTGATCACGGAATATGGATTCTCAGGGTCCGCTGCCTAGTGAATCAGTGTTTTTCGACGTTTAAGATCTTGTTTTCGGTCAAATTGTTATTGTCTTGGATCTTAGTGAACAGATAATGTCTTTTTGCTAATATAAGTGTCCCACCAAGTTGACCGAATAGCCTTATGTTGCATTGGCCAAATAAAGTGTAAATGAAGAAGAACGACCATGGAATATTAAGAGTTCGATAAAACACGCCATTGGTTTCCTTCGCCTGCTGATAACTTTACCTTACAGGTACGCAGTTACAGCGAGATGTCAAACAGCATAACCAAAAATGCTTTCGAAAATTATAGAATGAAAAGTAATTATATTAATTCGATCTTTTTACAAAAATACAATCCACATAGGGCATGAGTAGATTTTTCTTTTGTTTATTTCTGATTTTAAATCTAGAACCGGGAAGAAATTACGAATCTAATTCACCCGTTACCTCATCCAAACCAATCCATTTGCAATATGATTAACGTTTCAATGGATAAGCAATTTTTTTAAAAACATTTTTATTTATATTGTAGGAATGAAAAATGTATAGGAAAATTTTAAGCATCTTTCAAGCTCCTTTGCTGTCGATTGGCTACCAACCCAAGTGTCAGTAACCATAGATCAGTGCTGGTTAGTTACCGATTCAGCTGGGCGTCTCAGCGCGGGCTCCGTCGAATAAAACGACACCGTAACTGCCAGGGGCGTATATTAATTTCGCAATAAATAAAATCTAAATCGAATCACAAAAAATATCACGCTCTCGTCGAAATGAAAAACCGCGACTGACGTTTCCCTCGCGCCGTCACTTCACCCGTAGCTTCCTCTTCTTCTTCTTTTTCTCGGCGACGGCCGAGGCCGCCGCCTTGGCCAGCTCGGCCGCGCTCGATAACCTGCGCAGCGACTGTTTTTTGAGTTTGACCCGCGACGACGACGAAGCGGCGACCGTTTTCGAAAAGTTGTGCGCGCGAAACACGCCCTGCTTGCTGGTACTCGGTTCCGATGGCGACCTCGGCAACGCGTTCCGTGACGTAAACACGGTCGCTTTGGACGCGGGCGCGTCCCACGACACGATCAGGCTGTCGTCGAAATCCTCGCCGCCCTTTTTGTTTTTGTACTTCGCGATCATCGTCTTCTTGCCCTCGCCGCTCTTGATGAAACAAATCTCCCGCAGGCGCACCGCGTCGCCGCCGCCTTCTTGATTTTTCACCTTCTGCGCAGAACGCTTGCCGGAAGCGACGAGTTTGTCGGCCGATTGCGCCGGCCCGACGTTTTTCGCCCGCAGCGACATCTCTTTCCTGCTTTTCGCTTTCAGCGAGCGATTCAGTTTCGCCGCGGACGGTTTCGAGCACCCCGGCAAGTTTTCCTTGCGGTCTACGGAGGGGGCGGCCCGGCCCGCCCTATTGGGCGGCTTTTTGCCACCCCTGGCCCCGCCGGCGATTCCCTAAAGCAACAAATGACTTACCGACCACCACGCTACGCGCATACGAAACGAGACGCCGGTATTTTAATTCGTTTCCCTGCCGCGGGGCGGCGCGGGGAGGGCGGCGCCGCCGGTTTCGTTAAAATTCGATTACGGGCTGGCCGGGAAAAAGGAACAGAAACGAAAAAACGATTAATAAAACGCGCGGTCCGCGATTAGTGTTGGTTAGTTTCGAAACGAGATGCGACCAAAGACTATAGAAATAACTCGCGGTTATAATTTTCCATTGTAATTTAAAAGAACTCAAATTAAGTAAATAAAGTGTGTGACTTAAGCCACTAACCAAGCACTAAAAGGAAAAAAAAAGGATAAAAAGAAAACATGAATACAAATATAATGATGTTAAAACAAAAACTGAAATTAGTTTACTTAATTAATTATTCAATGAAAAATAGTAAAAAATTAGAAAGGCATTAAAAGTAATGAACCCATTAAAAAAAATGATAAAAACCACAATTGTCAAATATTTAAGTAAATGTAATATGTTAACACTAAGAAAAAATCATTAAATTAAATTAATTAATAATATTAATAATTTAATTTCCTAAAAAAATTAATAATATTAAACCAAATAAATTAAATTAAAATTTTTAATAAATCATAAAATCTTGTATAACTGAAAAAATTACAATCAATTTTCATCTCTCTATATTTGAAAACACAATTTTTTAAGTAAATGTAATGAAAACACACAAGTTAAAAAAATACGATAAAAAGGAAAAAAATAGTCAAGTAAGAAAATTCAAATGCAATTTTTACAAAATTTGTAAAAAAAAAATAAAAAAGATACTAAACCCTCTAACCAAGAGCTAAAGGAAACAAAAGGATAAAAAGAAAACAAATATGGATAAAAATTAATTAATTAATTAATTAATTAATGGAAAATGGTAAAAATTTAAAAAAACATTAAAAGTATTGAAGACATTAAAAAAATTATAAAAACCACAATCGGCAAATATTTAAGTAAATGTAATGTGCTAACACTAAAAAAAAACATTAATAATTTTGTAACATTTCAAAAATAACAATCAGTATTCTTCACAATTTTTTAAGTAAATATCATGAAAACATTTAGGTTAAAAATACGATAAAAAAAAAATGAAGTAAAAAAATTGAATTGCAAATTGAGCAAATTCGGAAAAAAAATACAAAAAAGACACTAAAGCCACTAATCAAACACTGAAAAAAAAATAAAAAAGAAAACATAAATACAAATATAATGCTGTAAAAAAAAAACTACAATTTTACCTAATTCGCAGGAAAAAAATAAAAATGTTAAGTAGAAAACGGTAAAAGTTAAAAAAAAACAGTAAAAATATCGAATCCATTAAAAAATAATTAAAACCTTATTCGTCATTTTTTCTCTTTGCATTTAAAAACACAAATATTTAAATAAATGTGATGTTAGCGCTAAGAAAAAAATCAATAACAATTTTAGACCCATTAAAAATTTAAATAAAATTTAGTTAAAAAACGATAAAAATAAAAAAAATATTAATAGTAAAATAAAATTTTAAAATTACAATCAGAATTCTTCTTACCTAATTGACAAAAAAAAAACTTTAAAGGATAAAAAGAAAACAAATACAAACAGCAACGTAAAAAATAAAACTGAAATTTTACCTAATTTGCAAATTGCAAGTAAAAAACGTTAAAAATAAAAAAAAAATATGAGTCATTTTTTCTCTTTGCATTAAAAAAAAACAAATTTTTAAATAAACTTTATAACTTGAATAAACTTAATGACTATTAATATTAACAATTTTGGACCGATTAATTTTTTTAAAGTAAAAACCACAATCAGCATTCTTTTCTTTTTGCGTTTAAAAACACTTTGTTTTTTTAAATAAATAAAATATTAACACTAATCAAACGCTTGAGTAAAAAAATGAAAAAAATGAATAAAAAAAAGGAAAAAACGATTTTTTTTAATCATTAGCAATTTTAGACATTAAAAATTTGTACAAATCCCAATCCCAATTCCAATCCCAAGTAAATGAAATGTGGACAATAAACCAAACACTTAAGTAAAAAAACAATGAAAGGAAAAACTAACCAAAAAAATTAAATTGCAATTTTAATAAATTTTGGCCACGTAAAAAAAAATTGAAACCCACACAGGAATTTTTTTCTCTTTGTATTTAAAAATGCAAACTTCTAAGCAAATGAAATGTTAACATTAACCAAATATTTAAGTAAAAATACATTAAAAAGAGAAAAAGTAAGAAAATTAAATTTGAATTTTACCAAATTCAATTCAATTTAAAAAAGTAAAGAAAAAAACGGGTAAAATAAAAAAATCATTACCAATTTTGGCCACATTAAAAAAATAACCAAAACTTTTTTAAAAAGAAAAAGGAGGGGTCAAAAGGCAAAAATCACTAAACAAAAAAATTACACACGATGTTAGCAACACAAAGGTTACGTTAAAATCTCCTACGTAGAAAGAAAAACCTCCCGCCCCAAAATTAAAAGAACCGAAACGTAAACAGAATATATTCAGCCCATTAAAAAACACATAAAAAATCATAATCGGCTTTTCTTTTTCCGCTGGCTCTAGGGTCAACTTCTACGAAACGAAACAAAAGCGCACCGGCACATCATCCTCATAGCCTACCTGGGTGAACTTGGGTCTCGGGTCGCGGCACTCGCCGCAGCTACTCCTCAACCACTCCCTCAATCCCGCGAGACTGTGGAACTCGGAGTTGGGCAGCCGTGAAAAAGGGTTCTGCCCGGTCAGGTCCAAGATCGAGACGCCCAACGACTTGCCAACTTCTTCGAATATCTGCGGATTGTATTTGGGCGGCACCGGGGAGGTCGCGTGAGCTCTGCCCGCCGCCTCTTTCACCGTGGCAGGGGGCAACGCGTTCACCAAGCGGCCCGTGTTGTAGTTACACTCCAAGGTGTAGCTTTTAACGATGCCGGTGAGGGAGAGCACTGCCACGCGACCCGAGCCCGCCCGGCTCATCCCGTCCCGTTTATCTCTGTGGAAAAAAAGCCCTCAGTTTGCGTAGCGTCCCGCATAAAGCTCGAATTATAGCTACACATTTTCTGTTTATGTACAAAAATGTTAAGGTTATCTTCTCATTAAATGCGATCGGCATCGCGACATATTTCAGTGGTCTGTGATGGAGAAAGTAAACCCGGAGATTTGTGACGTCAACTTTAACCATGGCACATAGAAGAATGTGAACGAAATTTCGGCCAAAAATCATGCGCCAATTTTTCATTTCTTCTTTCAAAGATCGCGAAAAATGAAAGATTTTAAAGAAAAAATTATTTTAGAAAAAACTGAATGGATAAATAAATCTATTTATTTAAGCTCCTCTACAACATTCTCGTAGTTGTCAGTTTTTTTATCTGTGGTTAACAAGAAAAGTTAACAATTCGGTAAGTTACTGTCAAAAAATTTTAGCAGTTTTTTTGAAGATTTGAAATTAGAGAACCGAACGAACACCATACGTTAATAAAAAATGTCCTTCATATTTTGTTTCATAAAATTTTTGACGTGAAGAATTTTTTTTGGGAAAAACGCGTGTATAACTTTTGCAGAGCATAAAATTTGCTACAAAAAGTTTCCATGCGTACATTCTCCCGGACCAACGGCTTTTAAGTTATAGAGCTGTGAAAATAAATGACCATTATAATTGATATCGAATCATTTCTAAATTAGGATTTATTATTTTTACATTAAATAGCAATTAATTATAAACAAAAGAACGCTTTATTTGAGTTATTATATGATTCAAGTTTCTAATTTCCAATTCAAATAGAGAAAATTAAAAGTCAATTATTAAAAAAATATTAATTACAATTAAATTATAATTAATTATAGACATTTAGAAACTATTCATGTTTGTAATCCAGTAACAACTCTAAAATTTAGTGAACGAATATAAATTTCAATTAATAAATAATATATAAGAGTGTAATTTTTTATGTTATTTTGGAGTTTCTGTTGAGTCTGTGAGTTGCTATTGGACTCACCTGAGATACATGTTCCTCTCGGTAAAATTGCACGCTTGAAAATGAAAATGGTGATTGTTGAGGCCCATCAGTTTCGGCAGCAGCATGCACTCGACTCTGCGGTCCGCGTCCGCAAAATGGTTGCCGTACATGAAGATGCCCTTCTTGGAGGCGTGGCCGTGCATGTCCACGTAAAGGAACAGGCCGGATTCGTTCGAGTTGACGTCGCCGCGATCGCCATCTACCGTCGCCGTCTCGAACTCGACCTCGTCCCGTTCCCCGTGCCGCACGAGTTTGCGACCGCAATGACGGCAAAAACTACGCCCTGAGAACCGCCGTCCACGTCACTGTGGAGCAAAAAGACGACACGCAGGCGCACTTACATTTGGAGCACCACGATGTCGTTCGGGTGTCGACGGCGCCGTCCACGCGAAGCGACATCGTCGACATGTTGTTCTCGTTGACGCGGCTGCAGTCCGCGCAGCGCGTCATCTTGCCCGACCAATCCCTCTCGTCTGTGGTCTTGTCGTCGCGCTCGGCGCCGTAGTGGTAGTACCTTGAACGGACGCACTTTATCGCCACAGAAGGTAGAAAATAAATAACGCAATAAGTAACCAAAATAAATGGTGTTATTTGCTTTATATGACATGTTTTTGACAACTAACCTCAGTAATCTACGGTATAGTCTGTCTCAATCATCATAATGCTGGCTTTTGCCCGCAATTATGGAAGTTATATGCTGACGGCAATAAACCCGGCAGGTATTAAAGGACAGAAAATTAAAGACGGACGTTTTGGTAATGATATAATTTTTGTTGTTTATGTATTATTAAAATATTTTTATTTATTAAAATATGTATATAAAGTAATTCAATATTACAGAACACATATGCGTATTGTTATTTTTCAAGTGCCTATTATATTTATAACGAAAACTCTTTATAATGAAAAAAAGTAGTCCTTTTAATTTCGTTATATAGAGTTTCGACTGCATATATATATATATATATATATATATATATATATATATATATATATATATATATATATATATATATATATATATATATATATATATATATATATATATATATATATATATATATATATATATATATATATATATATATATATATATATATATATATATATATATATATATATATATATATATATATATATATATATATTCTCACGTATTGATTCACGGATGGAAAAATATGATGACACTATATTCCGGGATATCATCCGTTCGCTCGTTGAACTCCGACTGGAATCCTGCAAATCCTGCATCCGACTGGAATCCTGCAGACGTTTCGCCAAAATCTCACTTGGCATCTTCAATGCTCGCGCTCCGAAAACACTTCGAACACTGGGAGGTTATCGGCGGTGCGTGCGGTATTTATACTCTGCGCCGGAGATACCATCTCCGGCGCAGAGTATAAATACCGCACGCACCGCCGATAACCTCCCAGTGTTCGAAGTGTTTTCGGAGCGCGAGCATTGAAGATGCCAAGTGAGATTTTGGCGAAACGTCTGCAGGATTCCAGTCGGATGCAGGATTTGCAGGATTCCAGTCGGAGTTCAACGAGCGAACGGATGATATCCCGGAATATAGTGTCATCATATTTTTCCATCCGTGAATCAATACGTGAGAATATCATACACCTTTACGGGAAGGAGACCTTTACAGCCACCAAGTGTTATGAAAAACTAAGACAAAGGAGGGTTATTTCGCTGTGCAACTTGAATTTTCTTAAAAACTGCCGCAACCAGAACTTGCTGCCAACATTTACAAGGTTGTCTTATCATACACACACCAGAAAGACACAAGCTATCCTGGACAAAGCTAGCAAGGCCCTACTCCAAGACCAGATCAGGCGGACCCGGTACGAAATTAGTGAGACTGAGCTACAACTTTTCAGACTCCACCTGAAACTGAGCAACAAGATCCATCAGTTGCTGTGGGACCGCATAGAATTATTAACATCATGGCGCACTGAGAAAGACAAGGACATCACGTCAAAAAAACTGTGGAAGAAATTAGAAATCCTTCAGTCAAATTCCAAAAAATCAGGACAAGTGCCAAATACAAACCGAAGCAGCACAGTTCATAATATTTCAGCATACCATCTTTCCGATACAGAAGTCAGCGTACTGAATAAAGGATTTAACTACGCAATAGCTCCAAAAAGAGTACCCGTCGAAGAGATCGTTTCCAACGTCGAAGCAAGTCTTTCCAACATAGACGAGCAAGATGCGGAGTTAATTAGGCAAGATGTCGCCAGAGTCTTAAGACAGTCAAAACCACCGCAACCAAACTTAAGCAGAGAAGAAATGCAAGCCTTAAGGAATCTAAACAAAAACGAAAACATTCTAATAATGCCAGCAGACAAAGGAAATGCCACTGTCGTCATGAATACGTCGGATTATAATGCAAAATTGGAGGATATTTTGAACGACCCAATATACAAACTAGTCACCAGAGATCCCACGACATATTTGGAAAAAACAACTAAGTCCAAAATTCTCGATTCATCAATAAACGAGGATACAAAGAAGAGACTTATTCCGAGGGAAAAATCGAGTCGTTGCCCAAAATTCTACGGGCTCCCAAAGATCCATAAGGACGGGGTTCCCCTGCGTCCAATCGTAAGCGCCTTTAACTCACCATTATGCAAGCTGGAAAAACATCTGGCCAGTGCACTTCAGCCTATAGTGGAAAAGGCAGATTCCTATGTTAAAAACTCAGAACATTTCACTCAGATTTTAGGTTCTCTCAGGATGGACAAGGACGACATTATGGCAAGTTTCGATGTCAAATCCCTCTACCCGAGTATTCCAGTAGAAGAGGCACTCTTGCTTATAGAAGAAAACGAAGATCTTCCGCCATACATAATGGATCTGTCAAGACATTGCCTGAAAAACGCTTACTTTATGCACAACGGGAAAATTTACCGACAAATAGATGGAGCAGCAATGGGATCATCTCTCTCACCTGTGATTGCCAACCTCTTCATGATTTACTTCGAAAAGAAAGCAATAGAGAAGGCAAATCTGAAGCCAAAACTATGGACAAGATACGTTGATGACGTATTTGTTGTATGGCCTTTTGGCAAGGAGGAGCTTTTGAAATTCCTAGACCATCTGAATTCCATTCACCCAAGGATTCAATTTACAATAGAACTTGAAGAGGATAACAGTCTGCCCTTTTTAGATGTGCACATCACAAGGACCGAAGATGGACACTTGGAACACACTGTCTATAGAAAACCAACCCACACTGATAGATATCTGAACGCTAAATCTCATCACCACCCATCACAGATACAGGCAGTGGCAAATACATTAATTGCTCGGTCCTTCAGGCTCACAAACGAGAGGAACAGAGATAAAGAACTGAAGAAAATTAGTACCTGTCTTCGACAAAACGGATACCAAAGGCGCACCATCAGCAAGGCAATCAGTAAACAACAACAGCCGCAGCAGAGAGTGCAGGACGAGACCCAACGAAGATCGATCGCTGTCCTGCCATACATCAAGGGGGTTACTGACAAAATCGGCCGAATATTACGGAAACACGACATATCAACGGCATACAAACCTGACCATACCATCGGAGCAATACTAAGAAACCCAAAACAAAAAATTACTCTGGAAAACCAAGGAGTATACAGTGTAGCATGCGGATCGTGCAGCCTGACGTATGTGGGACAGACCAACAGAAGGATTTCAGCCAGGCTCGAGGAACATCGTTTAGCCATAAGAAACAAACAAACAACATCTGCTTTGTTTCAGCACCAACATCAGACAGGCCATAAAATTGATTTCGGCACTTGCAAACAAATAGCTAATATTCCTGATTTTAGGACTAGGATTATACGAGAGGCCATCGAAATAGAAAAGTCCGGACACCTCAATACGAGAGACGACGCTCTGCATTTATCCAACACGTGGAGAACGATAATCAAACAGCAGAGCGATGCGCAGCAGCCAACGGGGACATCGCAACTACGATCGGGCGAAATTAACAACGCGACAATTCAGGGGGAGGAGCCACCTCCTCCCACGCACAAGCAGCACCGTTACCATCTCCGGCGCAGAGTATAAATACCGCACGCACCGCCGATAACCTCCCAGTGTTCGAAGTGTTTTCGGAGCGCGAGCATTGAAGATGCCAAGTGAGATTTTGGCGAAACGTCTGCAGGATTCCAGTCGGATGCAGGATTTGCAGGATTCCAGTCGGAGTTCAACGAGCGAACGGATGATATCCCGGAATATAGTGTCATCATATATATATATATATATATATATATATATATATATATATATATATATATATATATATATATATATATATATATATATATATATATATATATATATATATATATATATATATATATATATATATATATATATATATATATATATATATATATATATATATATATATATATATATATATATATATATGCAATTACATTTTAATTCGAAATGATCAAATCTAATTGTTTCACCATCAGAGCCGTTATTGACATTATGTCAAAACCAGATTTACCACTTTTCCAAAAATCTCCAACATATGCGGCAAAGAATACATTGGAGAGAAGAAAATCAACTGTTAGTAGATCCAAATTTAAAAAAATGTATATTAAAACAAAGTTTTTCAAAATAATTTTTGTAAGCAACAAGGCATGTAGTGGCAAATCAAATTTTATTTTGTGCGTTTAAATTTAATTGGTCACGAAAAATGGACATCCAAACGGTCGCCTCTGCTTAGATTGGAGCTCTGTGGTTTATATAACAATGTTCACGCGTTCTGTGCACGTGTATCACAGACCACGTTAAAGTAAAAAGCAAGTATTCTATGGTAACGTCTTTTGATCGGGATTTAAACGTATACGTCATAGCACCTACCTTATTAAAGCCCTGGCGGCGTATATCGTAGGGTGTTCCACGATGCTAGGATTCATATAAATCCTATTCAGATTTACGCCTCGGGTATCGGTCCTATAGTGCCCCCGAGCAACCCCGTCAGGGTTCAGAAAGGGTACTAGTTTGAACACGTAAAACTTGCGCAGGTACTGCGCCTGAAGGTCGTCCCTGCACAGCAGGAGATTCAGCAGGCCGTTGAAAACGAACGACGAGGGCGTCTCGCCGGGATGAACCCGGGCAGAAACAAATATAACCTAAAAACAGTCGAATTTCGAAAGTTTGGACAAATATTTAGGGCCTACTAACGAAAGTGCAAATTTCACGGGGTGTTGTGATATGCAACGAATGCGTTGTTTTTTTTTTTTTTTCATTTGTAATCTGAACAAAATCGTTATACAAAGAGTTGTCCGTTCTACGTAAAACTTTTTCAAAAAAAAACTTACTTTTCGTCCTTGTTGCCAAATATTCAATTATGGTTTCGAAGATTGAAGGGTTGATAGGATTACGAAATATGCTCAAAACATTATAACACAGGATAGGTCCCAATAGCACTCATACTATTGTGAATTCGGCCGTATTTTGCCGCCATATTTGTGTTGTGTTAAACAAAAGTAAATTGAATTTGATTTTCGTTTATCTATGACCGTCGAATTTCTGCTGATAATAGTGGCACTCAGCTTTTGTCTCTTTTTATTGTCGAAAAAACAAAAATAAACAAAGGAGTATAATAATCATATTGCGGATTTCATAAAATGAACTGTAAAGTACGTATCGAGATATATAAGTATTGTTGTAATAATTTTAAACTTATTTTTGAATAGCGCCATCTAACATGCACTATTTTTATTAGTTTTACGATGTAACGCCTGAGAGAAGGCCACTAGGGATTTTCATGATATAAGGTTAGGAGGTTAGGTTTGTTTTTGTGGCTTTTTGGTTTTGGGATTCTCCATGCGGGGGCATTCGAAGATTGTTGAAATAAAGTTCCCCATAAGTAATTTTGTAATGATTAGCATATATCTATATCAGAAGTTAAGAAAATACAAAGAATTATTTGTTTTCAGAAATATCGTTTTCTTGATTTGGAATTGAAAAATCAGCCGATAACAAAATCTGTATTTTTTTAAAATAAATCTTTTTCAATTGATAGTTTTGCAAGTTTTGAGAAATTTTGCGTATACTTTTTGTTGTAAATCGGTGTTCGGTGAGTTGGATGAAAAAACTGAAATGTTTATCGATAAAACTATACAAGTCTAACCTATTTTGTATTTCGTTTAATAACAATACGAATATTTACTTTGAAATTATTCGACCCAACAAATTTTGTGTCAGGAACAATGAAATTTTTCTCTTATCTCGGTTATGTAATCGATTATATTTTTATATGTTATTAATTTTATCTTTATCAAATAAATACGGAATGGTATTTCAGAAAAACGTTAAAAAGACTACTGTTCATTTTTTTTGTTTTTAATTTAACTGTTCAATTCTGAGCATTATCATTTGGCATAATATCCCTTAAAACTTTTTTATAAGTGTCTGATAAACTTTTAAACTATAGATATGTTTATTACTTGAAAGTTCGTCTACTTCCTTCAAGTTGTTACGAAAATGATTTGATTAGTGCTCCATTACGTTGAGTGTACACGTCAATTTCCAAAAATGAAATAGAAAAACCAAAAAGAAGCGAATTTTATTACTGCAAATTTTGAAATCATTTCGAAATTTCTTCGAACCAAAGATGATGGAGTTTTTCATGAAACGTGAAACGGGCATAAGTACAATTGCCTGGCCAAAATCAATAAATATGGCAGTTTGGCAACGCTGTGCAGGTGAATGTCATTTGGTGACCACAGTTAAACTTTTCCCATCTACTAAATAGGTTAACTGCAGGTTTACCAACAGTTTTACATGTGCTTATTGTGGATAATTAATGTAGATACATAAAATAATGTATATAGAAAATAGGACAACTAAAACCAAACTTAGACACAATAAAGCCCAACTCTCAATAAGATTTTTTTTAGTTTATTAACAAATTGTATTAACAGTTTACCATTTTTTGCCTAAATCAAATAATAGGAGTTTCTAGATAAGACCTAAGAAACAAAATATTGAAACCAACTTTATTGTAATTAAGTTTTGGTTTATTCAAGATTCAAACAATAATTCGTACCGAATGAAAGAAATTGAAGAAATATAGTTTGATTTTATTCGAGTATTTTGTTTCAGAGGCATTAAATTTGATACATTCCTATAGTTAATTAAGATTTCATAAAAATCTCTAACCTCAAAACTATTATAGTAAAGCTTGTTTAAAACTTAGTTAAGATCAGTTAAATGGTTTTCAAGAATACCTACTAAATAATATGATAAAAAGAGAAAAGAACTAATGTAGGCAAAATTTGTTTTTCTGTTCAAATGGGTAGTCTCAAAAGACGATAATTTTCACTGTGAGGAAATCTCTTTAGAATTGTAAAAAAAAATGGGAATGGATACATTTTTGACCGTTTTTAAAAATCTCTACACAAAATTTGCTACAATTTTTTTAATGCTAACTTAAAAAAATATAAAGGATGGACTAACCCATAGTTATTTCAACCATTTTAAACCCAACAGCTATTTTGAAATGGAATGGATTTTTTCTTGTACTTTCCTATCTCTTTAATGAGTCTACCGCCTACCTTTTTGCCGACGAATTTGTGGGGCCTGGGGACGTTTTTGTCGGGGAACAGGCCCCGCAAACGCTCCTCGCGTTCCGCAGTGATCCCATGGTAGGACGATATCGTGATCAGGTCCACGTTTCTGCCCTCCAGAGACTTGCACACAGTCTCCCTGACGTAATAAATGTCGTCCTCGCCTATGGGCTGGATCGCCAGGTACTTGTGGTCTATATTGACCAGCAACTTTTGCAAATCGACATAAGAGAAGGGGTATGTGAACGCGAAATAGGTGCAGCACTCCGGGTTGTCCGGAGTGCGGTATTTGAAGGATAACGTGAAAATATCGTCGCTTAGCTAGAAGGAAGACTAGCTGCAATGGACGGGAGGCACGACACTGGTTAAATGCTCACGTTGTAAGTGGGTTTGTCGTGTATCCTTTCCCATTTGGGTTTGCCGGGCAGAATTCTGAAAACCGGAGCCATGCCCTGGCTGTACATCTTTCCCTGGCGGTTAAGGTCTACCATATTCAACCGGACATTCAATGCCGGTTCGCAAGCTAAAGACCATCTAAAAATGACCTTCGAACGGACATAACGCGTTTATACCTTTAATTCCGAAATAAAACCACGTCCTGTTGCCATTTTCGAACTCGGTTCCGTCGCAGTCCGGTCTCGTCCAAATATTAAACTCCGCGTCCGGTACTTCAAATTTATCGTGTGTCGGGCCGGGGGTGAGCTTGAGTAACGCTGAAATCGTGAATGAAAATCAAACAAGTTCGATAACGCCAATTTATGATTACCCAATTCCTGCTGAGTGACGAACTCGACCCTGGACAAATTGGCCGAATCGAAATCGTTATAAAACACGCACTGACCGCATCGAATACCCTCCATAATTTAAAAAAAAAACTAAAACAGAATTTAACCTGGCCGCTGATACCTAAAACAGAGTCTAATCGCTGCCAAAAATATCGGAAAGTTAATGATACATCGCTACACAAAGTCAAATTGGAATGATACTGTAAACAAACCTGACAGTTTGTCAGCTGTTTGTATTTACCAGTCGGATTGGTTGTTAACCAAATTCGTTTGTTGCGATTTACGTCATGATTCGTCGTAACACATAATGGCGTGCTATTTTTCACTTTGGACTATGTTCAAATAAACCCCGATCATTTCTTTATTATTATCGTTCGCGTCACTTTCCACAAATTTGGCGAGCGACACGAGCTCAGTTCAAGTCCCGGTACGATCGGCCTTCGAACATCTTCGACACCACAGCATCAACGATTGGTCGGTTTAAGTTCACGGGCTTAAGGAAGAGGACGCAAGACTGTTTGTTAAATATCGGCGATTTTGTAAACGTATGATATCAATTTATTAATCGGTACGTTATTGTGTATTTTGCCGAACGAAAACCGGGCGCCAGCTGCGCGGCAAGAAGGTGAGCGACCGAGTTGTCGTCCTAAGAGGAGCCTCTGTGACAACCTTGACGCCATGTAGCCCCTTCGCTTTCGGTTCATTTGCTCGCTTATGAGATGGTCTTTGTAAAAAAAAATCCGTGCGTTAACAGTGCCTTCGGCGTTTAAAGGTGAGTCCTTTAAAGCAAAGTGTTATTTATTCCGTTTAAGTTGTATTTTGTTAACGGTCTTTTACTTTAACACGCGGTGTAATCTGTGCGATGAATCCGTACGTTTATTTTGGGGTGGAAGTAAGTAACCCGGCGGGGAAACAACATTCCCACCGTGTGCGTTTGCCTACCTAAGACGCCCGAAAACTAACGAGAAAAGCAAATAGATCGCGAGAACGTAGATATTTATTTCTTGGTGACAAGTGTTTAAGCGTCCACCGCGAAGTCTTTCGGTCGCGTAATAGCGGGCCCGCACCAACGAAAAACAGACGAGGCAAGATTAAGTAAAAGCAAGTAAAGTGTGAAGAGAAAAGCTTAAAAAATAAAGAAATAATACTCATAAAACAAGTTTAAAAATATTAATTATTATACAGTACGCTAGTTACTTAAAGTGAGGAGAATGTGCTTTATAGGATTGAAGACACAAACACACACAAAAAAATACTTTTTTTATGCTGAAGGTTTTAGAACTTCTAAAAGCTCACTTTTACAGCGTTCTTCAAAAATATATATCTTTCGCTGCTGCCATGTAGCTTTGAATAGTATTGTATTTTATTATTTACCCACTACTTTATACCGAACCCATTCACCGCACATAATAATAAATAAAGATAGAACGAAGAGCCGTATTAAAGACATTTCTGATTTAGTTTATATAATTGCGAGCATAATTTTGGATTAGAGAATAGAAAAAAATCGTATTTCAACTTAAAGAAGGTAATTTTGGATGGCTACTTCTAACCCAAAATGTAATATTGCTTATTTATACTGCTCATGCATTATCTCCTGCAGGCCAAGAAGAGGCAAGTTATTGCTATTGCAATAGCATATACTGATTAAGAAGCAAACACTTCAATTCTGTATTTTTTCCAATTAAAATAACAAAATTTCGGACCTCTTGGAGGAAGAGTAATATAATATAATGTATAATTGAGACACATTTAATTATCCGCATTTTTTTTGTAGTATTTCATTTGTCACTTAATTCAAATAAAATTGTAATTTTTTAAATGGTATACCATATACTTTATTACATTTTTAACTACCAATTTAAAAGAGGAATCCAGAGATATATATGAATATCTATATATATTAGGAAATATGTTGTTATGTTGGAAAGGTTTTCTTTACGTTGCATAGCAACGCTTAACAGACTTTTCTGCGTAACATAGAAAATAATACTCTTTCTCAGACAATATTCAAAATTGAACAAGATGGCGCTCCTTACCATCGAATGGATTGGGCAAAGTGGGGCACATTAAAAAAGATGCTTAAAAAAAATAACAACAACAAATTCGGGATGCAATTGACCAATTAAATGCCACCAATTGTAAATTAAATTTAAAAATGTAATAAATTATACAGTGTTACATTTAAAACCATATATAGTTAGGTAGGCTAAATAGATGCTGTTAGAAAATACGCTGACCAGCTTAAATTTAGTAGATTTATCGATATTCGGAATTCAGAAGTCTTATAAATGAGGGTGGGTAAAGAAGAACGATTTTTTTTAACTGACTCAAAAACAAAAACTCTAAAAAGTACTTTCCACGTACGAGCTCTTAAAATGAATGTGAAAAATATACTCATTATAGTTTACTATATATAAATAATCATATCTTATGACCAATAGATCATTCAGCCAATTTTATTGATAATTTATCACTGTTTGATGATACCAAAATATCTAAGATCGATCAAAAGAACATCAATTCGATTATCGAAAACGATGTCATTGTCTTTATTTCTCAAAAATAATTGCATTTGTTCAAAATCTTTGACCTGCCATATGATCTTCTCGATGTTGACATTGCATTGTGGGCTTCAGATGAGAGTTATAAGAAAAACGAAGAACAGTTTCAACAATTTGCAACCACATAATTTTAAATCGTTACACTCATTAAAGGCGCTCCGCATGCTGCATGGAATGCTTTGACGTATCAAAGAAACTTGAAATTTTCTAGTCTGGGTTTTCGAAAAATTAAAAAAAAGTGAAACAGGCCCATTGTTTATAATGCCATATAAATTTCTGTTCACCGTTTCTCGGTTCCTTTATTGGTGGGGTGCGGGCGATCTGCGTCTCGTTTCGGAGAACTCCGAGTTTGTCAGCTCATCCGCGGGACCGCGTCCCATAATATGACATATAAGTCTAGGCGAGTTTTTGCCCGTAACCGTCGTCGACCGGCATTTTTCGCCGTACACACACACACACATACATAAACGCCATACCCTCGGTGGTAACTATGCGGGTAACGCGAATACCATTGGATTTTTCCATACCCGGCCCCATAAAAACGTTATATATCTTCCCGGTACATCGTGTGGTTGAGAATTTACTATGGGTTTTGATTTTCGAGTCCGCGTTCGATCGGTTTGTGAGATTTTTTTCCATCAAAAATATCGGAAACGAAGTCGAAACATTTTATGAGTCGCTTTCAATGCACACGTCTCTCAGAACTTGGAATATCTGACCACTGACCGCTGAATTAGCAATATCGTCGGCGTCATATGAAAATTGCGTAAAAAAATGTAGGATCAAGCCGGGGAAATTGTAAACGCAGTTAAAAACCGGTTTAAATTTGCTGCTATTTTTGAATATGCAGCGTTTTCTTTAAGGTTGCCTGTCAATTTATTGGCGCCATTACGAATTTCATAGACAACCGGCGACACACATAACTTTTTTGTTTAGGGCCCACAATATATTAATTCCTTTCACAAATGACCGTCCAGGATCGGTACTATGCTTCTATAAAGCGCCATCGAGATGTATTTTCACTAAAAAAAAAACTCAGCATCAGCAAAAATGCAGGAGAGATGCTGATTCAATTGTATCTGAATGGTAGCACTGCAGAAAGATGAGAGATGTGAACACCTTCCATGCACATCTAAGTGTCCAGGGAAAACCATGTCAGATACAATTCTATCACAGGATATGTCAGAAATATATCACAAGAGTCTAATAATAACCAAAATTTTAAAAAAACTATTTTTCCCTTCTTCAGAGAGTCCAATCCTGAGCCAAAAAAAGGCTGTAGTTCCAAGAGTAAAAGCTCTTAGTCAAGGCAAAATTTTAACCACAGAACAAGTGTTAAACATATTAAAAGCAGCACAACAAAAAAATCACAGAAGACTACAAAAAATACAAATAAAGGAGCAGCAAAAAGAAAGCAGGGCTTTCCATCTAAAAGTAAAAGCAGTGACAAAGAGGATAGTGACCCATCTTTATGTCTTAGTACTCTCACTGAATTTTCTCCAGAAGAGGAAATGGGTGAAGATGAGTTCATTGGCATAAATCCGACGCCTCCTTTGTTCCCACATTTGCTTAGAAAGTTGGTCTACCAAGCTTATTGAAATGTTTTTATTTTGTGTGTATATTTAAGGTTTTCTAATAAAACTTTCATGCATATAAATTTCTCGGCCTGAATATGAAAGAAACAAAGTAGAGTATTTTTCAATATAATTCCCCTTAACTTCAATACAGTTATTACATCTCTTTATTGACAAGTCAATCCTTTTAAAAAAATATTCTTTTGGTTTATCTGCAAAATGAGCTAAAACAGCCTTTTAACTCAACTTCGTCGTTAAACCGCCGTCCACGTAAGTCCTTTTTCAAATATCCAAACAAATAATAGTCGCTGGAGGCCATATCTGGACTATAGGGAGGATGATCTATCTCTTGAAACCCACACTCTAAAATAACAGCTTGTCCAACACCAGCGGTATGCAAAAGACGCAAGCCTCTAGTCAGTTTTCCTCGTATGCAGTCTCGCAATTTATGTAATAATCTTGCGTAATATTTACCATTGACAGTGGTATTAGTTTCTTTAAAATCACTCAAAAGAATTCCTTCACAATACCAAAAGATCGTAGGCGTCACCTTTTTTGTTGACTGGCAGACTCTGAGTTTTCTTGGAGGTGCTTCACCCTTACGACGCCACTCCATTGATTCTTTTTTCGATGGAGGGTCATAATAGAGAACCATAGTTTCATCCCCCGTCACAATAGTTTCTATCACAGGCTTTGGTTCCGACCCACAGACTTCCAAAAAAGACCCCGCACACTGGACACGGCGTTGTTTTTGAATAGCCGAAAGGTTTTTAAGCACCCATCTTGCACTAACCTTATTATCATGCAGGATTCGACGAACCCTTGTATCAGAAAGCTTAGTAATTTCTGAGATTTCCTTGACCTTTAAACGTCGATCACTCAATACCACCTCTTCCACAATCGCAACAATATCTTCCGTTATGACCTCCACTGGTCGACCACATGACCACGGACACAATATCTGCCAAGCTTCTCCAGAAGCAGGTCATGAGAGACGCAGTCGAAAGCCTTATTGAGGTCACATAGCGTGAATGCTCCCCCTTTTCCAGGCCCTCCACCACTTCTCCCACATCCCTGCAAACCGCCTGCACAGTGGAGCAGCCGGTCTTAAAACCAAATTGGGAAGCATTTTGAAGCTTGGCAGATATGGTGTCCGTGGTCACCCTCAAGAACTTATTCGGTCATATTTAACTGACAGAAGACAGTGTGTCGTCTTTGACAATAACTTGTATCATTTTCTGTTCCCCAATAGGTACACTTTATGCGGACGATATATCGTTTGTG